GGAATACAGAGCCAATCGTCGAGGTAGAAATGTTTGTCCTGAGCCCAAACGGTATAGTTGATATTTGGATTCCAGAACTTGTTATCTCCCACCGTCCATTTCTTCGCCGTCACCGTAGCCGCCGTCAGAAAAGCTAGCACCACCGTCGCAACCAACACAGCAACTCTCGCCATCGATCACTCACTCTACTAAAAGAAAAGCTCAGTGCTTTATGTCTCTCTCTAGAAAGAAATAGCGGAATTTGAAGAGTGGGTTTTAAAGAAGCAATGGATTGGGTTTTATTATTATCTGAAGTCGAAACCTTGAAAATCGGACATAGAATTTCTCCTTTTCGGGGAAAAGATCTCTCTAGATCCGTAATTTCTTCGACTAAAAACTCTTCGAATTTTGTTACTTTAATAAACCTCGAGGTTGACGAAAAAGTACAAGATTTAATAGTAACGCGTTTATAATAAATTTAAGGGAATTTAGTTTGTTCTTGCTAAATAATATATCATTTTTTTCAGGTGAGTAATCTTTTTCTTTTTCTTATCACCTTTTTGGCGGAAATTTATTTCCTTTTTCTTTATTCATTTTTGAAAGGATCCAGAATTTCAATTCGTATGAAAATTTAAATTATTTCTTCTATTGTGTTGGGTGATACTTGTCTAAACTTACAAGTCTCTAACTATATGAATTATCTTTCTCAAAAGCTATATGAATTACTATTATATTAGCTCTTTATTGAAGTTAGTATATAAATAATTATATTTTTTTTATAGCCGTTGAGGAATTTCATCTTTTTGAGTCTTTGGTCGTTATGCCTCGTCACATATGAAGCAGCATACGTTTCGTGCATCATAAAGCTCCACGCGCATTCGTAGCGCGTCGTAACCACTGCCACTAAACCATTAACTACCATTCATAGTTAGATTTTTTTTTTGTGGTTATTTGGTCTAATTTTCCTTAAATTAATACTATAGTAACAAAAAATATTAATTTAGTTGTACCATGATTTGCTGATTTGCTAGAATTTAACTGAGCCAAAGAGAAATTAAAAAAAAAAAAAAATTGATGCAATGATACTTGCTTACTGTCAATTTCTATACAAGTAAGTTATCTTCAATATAGATTCAACTTGTGCTAAAATACAAAAGAAAAAAAAGATTTTGCGAAAGTTCTCCAGTGTTCTAAATCAATTTCCAGCAAAAATTCCCCCCTTTTCGTTTCAAACACAAATCTTTTTGTTTGAATTCCTTATTTTAATTTTTGACGTCTTAAAATAACATTATTGTCCACACAATATTTGTCGTAAATTCCACGTAGGAAAGAAATATCCATTACACCCATCCACGTGTCCACACCTCAGCTTCAAATTCCATTGTACAACCAAAAAAAAAAACCTTACCTGAACAAACAAAAACACACGCATCGGAACTGAGAAGGTGAAGAAGAAAATGGCGGCAACGGCCATGGCCGTTCATCTCCCAAAACATGCTTCGTTTCTTCCCAAACCCAAACTTCCATTGGATCAAAACACAAACTTTCTCGGTGGGTCCTTGAATTTGGTCCGACCCATGTCCGGAATTAAAGGTCCGGTGATGGTTTCTGCTTCTCCGACGAGCAAGACCGTCGTTACAGATGACGTAGAAGGAGATCGAAGCAACCGGTTTTATATCAACTTCACCGGTTTTCCTTTCCCTCTTGGTCCTTTCTTTAACCGGCGTACCATCAGAACCGAGGTTAGGTTTTTCTTCTGCATCTTTTCTAATGGGATTTTAATTTGAATTCGTTGAGATTTCATTAGTGTTTTTGTTAATTAGTCATAATCACATGTCAATTATACCCCAATCTCTCTCAATTTTGATGAAAATCTTACAAAGTGAATTTCGAAACCTTTGCTTGTTTTGCAGGCGGTTAAAGGTTGCATATGGATGTTTGAACAAGAACAAGCTTTAGGGTTTAGTAGCGTTTCGACAAATATACGAATGACTGTCATTAAACTAAAATCTGGAGGTTTATGGGTTCATGCTCCTATTGCTCCCACTAAAGAGTGTATACAGGTTTCAATTTATCATCACTCTCTCCATAGAATTGTTGAAATTATAAAGTATCATGCTTTGTTGTCATTTCACACTTGGTGTTTGATAAAGTTTTTGAATTTGGTCGTCCGTGCATTGAACCCTA